GGGAAGGGTCCTTTCTAGACTGTCCCACTGACACATTCTCGGTAAAGATGCGCTCCAGCCCGCGCCTGTCTGGTCATTTCTTCCTGCAGCAGAGGGATCCCTGACACGTCTCCTGCCCGAAATAGAATTCGGCAGAAGGAGGCCGAAATGCCCCCGAGGCAGGCTTGCTGGGGCAGAGGCGCGAAGCCGCAGCGGAGAATCCCCCGAACTCATGGGCTGTTGAGGGGAAATGAATCCTGAAGGGGAAAGAGCCCCGCGGAGGCGCTTTCGGGGAGGCGTGCAGAAACGCCGCCGCTGCCGACCCCTCCTCTCTCCTAACCGCGCGAGTGGGGGCAGGAATTGACGGTCGGCGTTGGCGGGTAAATGTGAGGAGTTTCCCGCGGAGAGGTCAGAGCGCGGGTAGGTGGGAAGGGGAAGGTGGCGAGACTCAGAGGCTGGGTGAGCTGTGTGAAAAAGAGAGAAGAAGGGCGACCCGGAGTGTCAAGTGCAACTCTAGGAAGAGAGAGAGAAGTGGGGTTCTGACGAATGGCGAAAGGTGGGCGGCAAGAAAACCGGCGCGCGGCAGAGGGGAGGGAGAGCTGGGTGGGGAGGTAGTGTGAGTTAGAGTGGGGGGCGGTGTTTTGGTCCTGGGGGTAAAAAAGAAAGGCAATTGGTCTCTGGGGAGAATTAGCGTCAAACAAGGTATGTATAGAGGAAGTTGTATGCATGTGTATGAGAGAAGGGAACTGTGGGCGAACTGCTTCGCCCCATGGAAAAAATGTCTGCTATTCTAGATGACGAGGAGGGCATTGGGTAGGGGGAAAGTACGCCGTAGCTTTGTCGAAGTAGGTTTGGGGGCAAAAGTCTGGATTTCAGTAGGAAGGGTCCCAGAAAGGCAGAGCGGGCACCATTGCAATATAACTAAGCCTGTTGCTCCTCGGACTGGAAGAAGGGAAAGAGAGAAGGGAGGGAAAGAGGGAGCAAATGCGGAGGAGAAAGCGACGGTTCGGGAAACGTCGGGCCGGTCGGTGCAGAGCAGAGAAGGTAGGAATGGAGCCAGTGGTTGAAGGAAAGCCGTCGCCCTGCTGCCTCTGGAAGAAGGGGAGCAGTAGAGTCCTACCTGGAGGGGAGAAACAACTGTGGATATAGTCGTTAACACTTAATATGAGGACGACCGGGGGAGGGGGCGGAGGAGTGATTGGTTGATTGATTGGGGCAGGAGACTGTACTGTAGAGGGATAATAAAGAGGGATATCCCCCAACCAACCTGAAGCCTTCTGCCGTGTTTGTGTGTGCACGCGCGTCTCTTTATATATGCGTGTGTATGCGCCATAAATCCCAACAGAATAGCTTAAGGCTGTAGGTAGAAGAAGCCTATTAAGATGCTAAGGGGCAGAGCAGTTAAGGTGTTGGACTCGAACAGCAAAGTTCAATTCCCCCCTCAACCGCGGCACCCATTAGTCGAGCGAGTCTGGCGTTGTGAGGTTTAAAAACGTGAAACCGGTAGGCCTTGCGTTTTAAAGAGAAGAGGCGGCCTAGAAATAACTGGGAAAGACGGAAACAGGCAGTGAAGGTAGCTTTACCACTTGCTGGAAACAGTGCTTCGGGACACCGAGGCTTTTCCTCGCGCGCGGCGGATTCGCCTCCTCCGTGTGGAGAAGACGCGGCTTGACGAGCGGGAAGGCGCGGAGGAGTTTGTCTGGAACTGACGTGCGCGTGGGTCTGGGGCTCGGCACGTGACTGAGCGGGGAGCTCACTCTCCCCTCTTCCTTCCTTCGTCAGGGGCGGAGCCGAGGGTGGCGGGGCGCCTGGTATGAACTTAGAAGACCGCCGCGACAGCAGCAGCAGCAGCAGCGCGAGCATCCACAGCACCAGCGAGGGCGGCGGGATGAGCTCGGTGAGCTGCGGCAACGGGAAACTCCGGCAGTGGCTGATTGAGCAGATTGACAGCGCCAAGTACCCGGGCCTGGTATGGGAGAACGAGGAGAAGAGCATCTTTCGCATCCCCTGGAAGCACGCGGGCAAGCAGGACTACAATCGCGAGGAGGACGCCGCCCTCTTCAAGGTACGGGACACCTTCCGGCGGGCGAGGCAGTCAAGCAGGCGCTCGCAAAGGCCCCCTTAGTTCGCAGGATTGGGAAGCTGGTTGAGGGCGCCGTTAGTATCTGCTTTCAGAAGTTGGAGGTAAAAGACCCCTTTCTGAAGAGAGTGGCCTCAGCGTTCTTCTCTAAGCTGGCGCTCTAGAGCTATCTCTACAGTGACCATATTTCAGAAAGCTGCCCTTTAGACTTATTTAATTTATTTATTTATTTTCTTGGTTTTGTCCTTGAATTTTCCTTTATAAAACAAAGTTATAAACATTAACATTTTTTTTTAATCCTTATGAACCTCTTTCAGATTTGCCCCTTTTTCAGGTTGTCCTTTATTTTTTCCAAGAAAATATGGTCACTGTAGCATCAAACATCAAACATCCCTCACCTTCATCCTGATTAATTGGGGACGATGGAAGTTCTAATTCAAGACATTAATGTGGTGTCTGTTTGGAAAGGCTAGTTGAAACAATTTCCATGTATCCGAATGGACTTGATTCAACAAGTCTCCATCTGGGAAATAAGAGTTTTTTCCCCCTCTCAAAATTGGATTTTGTGCATACTGCACCCAAAAAAGGATGTTGTAGAGGAAGAAATAGTACACTGATATTAGCTGGAGTTAACAGTGCCAGTCAGTTTCACTGATCACATTACTTATTAATTCTTTCTGTGTGAGAGATAGAGCACATATGAAATTATGGGACTCACAGGTCTTATCTATTTGGCAGTAATGGTGAGAGGGAGCTTGCTATTAATGATGAAATCATTGGAGTTAATACTTGAAACATAGGACTCACTTCAACCTGCATATTCCCCACATAGGGATTGTAATAAAAACGTAACACTTTCCAGTGGAGAGTTCACACATCTAATTGTGTACATGCATGGGGTGAATTCAGTGTGCCCAAAGAGTGAATCCATTTTTTGTTTGTTTATTTCCATAACAAGATAGATGACCTGAGAGGCACAACTAGCAAAGGACACCCAGTGAAGTGAATTCCATGGCTTATCTGGAATTTGAGTCCAGGTTTCTCAAGTCTAATTCCAGACTCTATCCACTAAATTGTCAGATGAATTTCCCAATATAACAATGCCTTTTTCTAAACTGCAGGGTTAAATGGGAATTGCTACAAACTGCATTTCATTAATAATCTGTCCAGGAGTACACACTAGAACAAGTAAAAAAATTCTCACCAGATACTAGAACTAAGCAACCTTTTATTTTAGGGCAATTCTTGGTACTACTTCAACTAAATCATGAGCAAAAGATAGATCAAGATTTACGGGTGATTTGCAGAAGATCAAAAGGCATTTTGAGTTTCAGGTGCTTTATAGCACTTCCATCACCCTCAACATCAGGATGCTTTAATGAATAAAGCTTGAGGGAAGGGGAGTAGATGCGGATTTTGTATGAATGTGGTATGAGCTTAGTTGTGCTGCTGAAAACAAATTCCTCGATTGCGATGCACTTAGAACTGCCTTACTCCTTAATCCTTTGTGGGTATCCACCCTTATTTCTGAGTTGCTATTTTGCATATAGTTCCAGTTGGGAGATCTCACCCTTAACTTAAATTACTGACAATACTATCCTATTTTCTTCCTCCAACTTGCATCCTAGATGTTGCTGAACTAAAATGCTTTCCTGTCACACTTGGCAGATTCCTACCATGCTGTATAATTTCTTTTTTTCTCATTTGATTAATTGCCCCAAGGCTTAATTCATTAGGTCTGCAAGCCTGATCACAGTTGCATATACTTAAATCCCATAGATATCAATTGGACTTGTGTATAATTTTGAATAGGATTGCAGACTTTTTCATTAACTTCAGCAAGCACCATAACTGTTTAGTAAGAATTTCTTTCTAAAACTCCCTTGTTTATATTGTTATTGAGGAGCATTACCTGGAGCAGTGCTGTTAAATTTCTGTTAAAATGAGTTCAGCTAATTACTTTTAATAGTAAGTATTTTTTTAAAGCAACACTATACCCTACTGGTAGAATTCATATGGCACAGTTTTTCTCCTTAGTTATTCAACCATCACATTTAACATTAGTGCACTTGTTTATTGAGTACACATTGTTTTCTCTCTACTCTGTTATAGTTTTTACTTTCTGCCATCTGGGCTCAAAGTTGGTTTAGATGTTACACAACTTATGGAAGATGCAGTGGCTTCCGTGCCTGCTTTGGTTGTCATATCTCTGCAAGGAGAGCTTGAAGTGAAGTGGTGGAGGATGCATCAAATATTTAGTTTTTGAAAAATGGCATACTATCTAGTTCTTATAGAAGTGAAATAAATATAATGAATCTTGGAACTGTGTCTAATTAGTTTACTGCTGCTTTCCCTGGTGGATCTGCTTTAGGGTTGCCCTACATTACGGAGAGATTCTAGATAGAACTACCAATAGGAAAGTGTGAATCCTATAGTAGCAGTAAAAAAAGAAAGGCCAATGATACTTCTAGGAAAATTTTCTATATTGAATATATTTATTATTGTGATATCTATATTATTGTTGTTAATGCCATAGGTTGTTCTGGAGGATTTCATTTTTCGGTTAATCTACTGCAAATATTTTCAGGCTTGGGCTCTATTTAAAGGAAAGTTCAGAGAAGGCATTGATAAACCAGATCCTCCCACTTGGAAGACAAGGCTGCGCTGTGCTTTGAACAAGAGCAATGATTTTGAAGAACTGGTTGAAAGAAGCCAGCTGGACATATCGGACCCGTATAAAGTGTACAGAATCGTACCAGAAGGAGCAAAAAAAGGTAGGACAGCACCTTAAACTGAGCTTAGAAAGCACCTGGCAACCACTATATCCTTCACTGTGGATATGAGTATGATACTCCTCGCTGGTTAGTAGTCTAGTGTTACCTTTAAACAAATTGAAGCTAATTGATATTTTTCATGAGCAGCCCCTTTAAAGCAGCCTAATTATGATGTCACCAAGGCAAGGATAAATGTTGTCAGGTCTGACCAGCTCAGAAATGGTCATGGCAAACACAGTATTACTGCACAGATATGCTTCTTGTCACTCTACACTTGAAAGTTCAGGGACAATTTAGGATCAAGAAACAATCCCAAGCTTCAGAGTTGACCTTTCAGGAATGTAGCCTTTTCTAGAACAAGATGATTTCTATCATCTAAGACTGATTTTTCTATTTATTAACAGCACTTCCATTTTGTCAAATATCAGTTTGTTTTCTTATTTAACTTGCCCCTGAATTCAGGGGATTTTCAGAAGTTTTGAAGATTCCTCTGACCTCCTTGGAATGAGGGCAAAAGTAGCAAAAATGCTGAGTGTCAACAGTATATTAATGGAATCTCATTTAAAAGATCTGCATGATCAGTGTTATGTAAATGTTGACTATTATTTGTTTCATGCCATTACATCTGATATTGTAAAATTCCAATCTATTAAAATATTTAAGCATTATTCTCTCATTCCTCTCTGGGATTCTCATCCTATGAAGGAGGGTCCTGGGGATGTGTACACTGACACTGACCCTTCTTATAGCACACCATGAATTCAATCTGTATTTCTGCAATGGGAGTTGCTGTAGTTAAATGTTCAGTATGTGATTTAGAACCTGGGTTGTATGTTATAAGATTAGCAGAGGTAATGAATCCTTGCTCTCTCCCTTTCATACTTGGAGTCTTATTCCTCTTCCATATGGGCACCAGCTTACCCCTCTCCCCATAACAATCATTTCTGTGCAATGCCCTGCCACTGTTCCCCCCACCCCCACTCAGCCATCCATGGCCAGCTATTCAATAGGGAGAATCCAAAAAGCAAAAGGCAGCCAGCACTCTGCCCATGTCCTTGCTTTTCATCTCACCTTATTAATTTTTTTGCAACAAAGAAAGGGAGGGAACCCCCACCCCCAGCTTCTGGAAGGGGGTAGAGGAGGAAGAATCCTGGAAGCAGGATTTGCCAAGAGAAGAATGGTACCCAATTCATAGTTCAGAGAAAGCACTGTAAAATATTGCAGTGTTTCCTCTGGAACAGGAAGTCAGCCAATTAACTCTACTAGTTAATTAACTTAGCTTTCCAAGATGATTCGATGCCCCAAGACATTATGGGGACATGCAAGACTGTACTAATCTCAGATGTCCCTTGCGTGTGAAAAGGGGCATATAGGAGGAAAGAGTGAACAGAGTTTTAATAATTCAGGATTCAAAAACCTGAGAATGCTCTACTGGATTTTTTTGCCAGATGTGATGAGGGTAATTTATATGTATAGGTTTTCTGATTACACACTTCTAGATTTCTGCCTTCTTTCTAACAATACAAATGAACTTCATGTCTATAAAGTGGCCAAAACTATTATTTCTACTAGAAATTAACAGTAGGAATGTCATTTTTAAATACTACCAAGCTACTATTTTTACAAAATTCTGTAAATCATCCTGTTTCTGTCTACAAATAATTTACAGGGTCAAAACAACTTAGCATGGAAGATCCACAGATGATTATGAATAATGCTTTCACTCTGAATTCATCATATTCTGCACTACAGCCTCAGGTATGACCCTTTCATTTATTTTAGTTTTGCATATTGGAGAGTGAAAATGTAGAGATAAACATGTTTGTTTCTTTTCTTGGACTATGATAAGAATGAAAACAAATGGCAAAAAAATCCAATGTAAGCTAACAAATGTTCTCAAAGGATTTTATAGGTGTTCTTGTGATAGATTTTGATTAGTGGCTGTTATTATTATTAGAAATTTTAAAATTAAATTTAATTTTAATAAATTTTAAATTTAAATAAATTTATTAAATTTTAAATTTAAATAAAAGTGAATAAAATTTAAATTTAAAATTTAAAAAATAGAAATTATTATTAGAAATATGGCACTCTTGCCATATTTCATTTCATTTCATTTCATTTCATTTCTCCTGTTAGAGAAATATAACTGAAATATTTTACTTTTGTTTTTAAATAATAGCATTGAATTTGTGCCGTTGTATCCATTGCATAAATAATTCAATTGCATCAGTACAGTCTTCACTGTCAGCAACTTTCACTCTGTATATCCGGATACATTATAAGTTTAAAGTCCCCTTTTAGTCCCTTGTGTTTCCCTGAAACACTGGACATACATTGCAAATAGACCTACAGTAAACTGGGTCTTCACAGAAACAGTAACCATTTGAGAAGGACATGAAACTTTGTTATCTGGAAAATGAACGTTTCTGCTATATAATCAGACAGTGAATTTCAGGAGATATCGATCCTTCTCAGCGTTAGATCTGAAGATATTAACTGGACTCAGTTTCAGAGTGAATTCCAAATTTTTAAGATGGATGGAAGTAAAGGGATAATAAATTAGTTCTGATCCTATGTTCATTTACCAGGGAGGCAGGTCCCTGAATTCAGTGGGATTTACTTTTCAGGAAACATCCATAAGTTTGTATATTTAATGAGGTATGTAGGGGTAGCTGTGTCTTTCCAGAAACACTTTATTACCTACAAACAGGCTCGATACTATGTTTGTCTGAGTTTTTATTTTACAGATATTCTGAAGATGGCATATAATTAGAAAGCTGAAAATGAATTAGCATTGATTTATTCAGTAACTGACTACAGATAAGACATGTAATATTTTAACAAAATATACAGGTGCCAAACTACATGGTATCTCATGATCGTAACTGGAGGGAATATGTACCAGAGCAGTCACATCCTGATCTTTCATACCAGTGTGCAAGTGTCTCTTTTTCACCTCGTAATCATCACTGGCAAGGTCCATCATGTCAGAATGGTAAGAACTTCTCATTCTTTTCTACAGAGCTACAGACTAATTTTATTTACATTATAAAATAGTGGATGGTTCCTGATTTAGTATTCTGTGTGCATATAAACTAAGAAAAGATAATTTTTAAGAAATTGGATTTGTTTACTTCAGCAGAGAGTAGAACTCTATGCACACTTTTGTTTGCATGAAGTTTTTATCTCCATTAAAGTGAGTCAGCTAGTTTTGGCAAGGGCAGAACTTTCTATGGGTCTCACAATTCCTGCATTTTCAAGGAGTTGTCATAGTGTAAAGGGGAATACTATGATGCAGCCAAAGGGAAGTGCTTTTACATCTAATTTCAGAAAAAAGAAAATCACTTGAATAGTTCAATACTCCTGAAATCTATTAAAAATTGTTAGGTGTGGTTTATATTATGCTGCTAACCAAATGCATAAAACAAATTGTATATTCTCAGTGAAGATTGGAGAGCTTTACTATGCCAATCCAAAATAAAAGAGAAAACAAAGTAGATAGCAGCCAACTTCTGATTATGAATGCATTCAAGGTTTTTTAGTTACGATGAAAACAGTTTATTCTTTAGTTTCATAAACTTGAAAAGTTGTAAAAAACCGATCAACCAAAAGATATTGCATTGTTTCTTTACTTTTATTCTCCATATGCTTATTTCTGAACAAATCCCATCAATTTCAATTCAGTACAAATAAACTAGTATTAGGCATAGCGCAACAAAATTAAGCACTTCTCAACTGCATGGATTTCAATGATTGATAAGTTACTTGCTTAATTTTTTGACTGACACTAATGAAACTTTACATTTCTTTTTGAATGGATTATACTTTTGCACTTTAAATTCTCTGTTTTGAAATCTACCTTTACAAGTTCTGTAACAAGGGATTGATGGGGAGGGGGGTAAGGTAAAGATTTCCTATATTCTAGGAAGAAATGATGCTATGATCTTTTACTGTAAGAGATAATGGGCACTTGCAGTATGAATTCATCACTCAGGTTATCAAAGCATAATTTCTTGCCATAAAATAAGACTTCTGTCATTATTGGAACTCTCATGTACTTAATATCACTCTGACTTCCCAGATATGGAGATTTCTTTCATTAGAAGAAGGAATTGCAAGTAGAGAAGGTGGTTGTATTTTACCCATCAAGTACGGATAGTCTTTGTTTAGCGACTGCCTCATTTAGTGACCATTCGCAGTTATAGCAGTGATGAAAAAGTAATTTTGTGATCAGTCCTCACATTTACAACCTTCACAGGTCTGTAAAGCAAAGGAAAGCACAGGAAGATCATAAGCATAGTTGCCGTTTCACTTAGTGACTACTTTGCTTCACAACTAAGTTGCTGGTCCCAATTGTGGTTGTTAAACGAGGACTACCTGTAATTTAAATCAAGCCTTTATGAGATTTTCATTTTAATACTTGAAATATACAAATGATAATTTAAGGTGAGCCTCCTGGTACTCAGCTAATACTATATTTACACTACATACAGGGGCTGACTTCATACAATATGCTAAACTCTAAAGCCATGTCAAGAAAGTGCATGTTCATGTAACATGCTGAGCCCTAATAATAAAATATGACTGAATGTGATTATCTTGTTTATAAAGTGTGCCAAAATATTTGTGTTCCCACAGCATGTGAACCACAAAATACCTGATCCCATTTTAGTCTTCTCTAGTATGTTGTATAAACTGAGCCAGGATGTCTTTGCTTTAAGCTTGGTCAGCTACTTGCTTGCAGAACTAGCAAAAGGTACATTTGGACAGAATGTAATTCTATAGAACCCTACATTGGCCTTCAACTTGTGGTAGCAAATTTTGGCATATACACTTAAGGGAGGGTTTATTTTGATAAACATATGCAAGTTGATTTCATTTAGATTGAAATACTAGGAAGAAAGCCCTTGAACTTAACAGAAGTTTCATAAAGCGAACCATTGTCTTCTGGAATTAGGTGATAGTTCTAAGCCTGTCTGTGAACCATTACTTGTGATAAAGTACAGGAGCACTAGAAGAACCATCCAGTCTGACTATGAGTGCATGTTAATAGGAATCCTTAAAATGAATAAAGGTTGCCTATTTAGTTATTCTTCCCATCACCCTTAATTCCCCAGTTCCTGTGTTCATGTTGTTATCTTCAGATAGGATAAAAGCATTATGGTTTATGGAGATTTCACATGGTCAGTTAGTGGGAAGTTCTGCCAGATAATTCACCAAAGGAGCCATAGTTTTAAATAACTATCTGGGAAACACTGTTTAATAAGGAAGATATATCAATCTTAGGAATGAACAAACAAAATATATTTAAAAGAATGACAGTAATATTTGGTAATGAGTGTTCCCATTCTGGCAGAGGAAAGTTTTGAATATTCTTGGCTGTTTGGTAACTTGGATTTTGCTTTGTGAAAACAAACTTTTTTTGTATGAAAGCAGGTTGTCAAGTAACTGGTACTTTTTATGCTTGTGCACCACCTGAGACACAGACTTCTGGCATCCCAATAGAGGGAAACATCAGGTCTAGTGAAGCTCTTCCATTGTCAGGTATGTACACCATTACAATCTAATAAATCACAATGAACTCTTGAAAAAGCGCTCATAAATTTCCAAGTAATTATTCCCTGACCCCTGTAGGTAAGAAAGAAATGAACATTCATCTACATTTGTTCTTCTGTATATAAATGCATGTACATATGATTGAAAGAGAGCCAGTCTGGCATAGTGGTTAAGGCATCAGGCTAGAAATGAGGAGACTGTGAGTTCTAGTGTTGCCTTAGACATGAAGCTTGCTGAGTGACCTTGGGCCAGTCACACTCTGTCAGCCCTAGGAAGCTGGCAATGGCAAACCATTTCTGAAATCTTGCCAAGAAAATTGCAGGGCCTAGGCCAGGCAGTCGCCAGGAGTCAAAAACTGACTCGAAGGCACACACACATATGATTGAAAGAATGAATAAAAAATTCAGGAGAGAGGAAGAAAGTCTTCTCAGAGGTCATCACGGTTCATTATTTTATAGGGCTGGGCAATGCTGTGTTTCATTCACATATACATTGAAGCACTTTTAACGGGCTGATTCCAAAGCACCCATAGTCCTATTATTTTATTTTTCTTTCTTATTTTTATTTATTGCATATTATTTATGTATTTTATTTAAAAAAACACTGTTTTAGAACATCTAGAAGTATTCTCGGGAGTAAATTAATTACTCATTCAATACCATTTTGTTTTTTAAAAAAACAGACAGCTTATTAAACATCTCGGAACAGTTCACTTTGTCCAATAACAGTTGGTGACTACCGGTATTGAATAACTAATATGTGAAATATATTATTTGTGCATAATACCATGCTTTTACACACTGGTGTTTACATATATTTGCTAGTTAGTCTTCATATCTACATGCTGTCATTTATTGATAATTCTGTACTCTGTGTAAGCTGATGGATAAGTTACTAATATTGGCATGTCTTCAAACTACAATGAGTTGTTTGATTATTTATAAGTCATCCCAACTTAATAGCCATATTTGTTATTTGATCCAAAACATGGAATTCTTGCTTAAGAGCTATCAGGTGGCTTTTTTCTTAGGTTATGTCATTTCCACAAGTAAACCTTGTGCATCATAAAATCTGTTATGCCCATGACATTTTTCCTATGAATTAGTTTGTGTGCTCCAAAGTTCAGTTCCACACATTTACTAAGAAGGAAATCCCGTTCTATTACTTCCTAAAAGAGTATTTAAGATGGCAAACTAAGTTTATAGACATAATCAGATATTTTGTTGAAAATTATTTCTAAAACATTGCAGCCAAAATTCTACTTCTGAAATTCATGTTTGAAATCTTTGAAAATTTCTTAAATCTATGCCAAATCATGTTTTGGCCTTAGTGACAATTCTCTGGGCTGGCTACTTTCCTGAGGCTAAAGAAAATATTTTACCGCATGCTATATAGCCCCCTTTCTTTCATTAAGATTTGTTCTGATAAGAATAGAATTTCTATATCTTAAGGAATATAGTACATGAAAATGACTGGTAAAATGGTAAAATGAGAATTCAACTTGTCAGTCTGGATGTCAGATAGAATTTAGAAAGGAATTCATATGACAGTGAATTTGAGGAAAGAAATGAAAATTACAGTTATAGATTAAATTAATTGAGAAGTGTTATTACACTATGTGATGTTACAAACTAGGAGTGTCAGGAATCCTCAAAGGGCTTACTGTGGGTGATGGCCAAGAAGAAGACTTGGTTGGAATATACAGGGCTAAAGGCCTTTTCAGTAGTGATACATGCTTTGTGGAATTCCCTTCCCCTTGTAATACTGATCACTTCCTGTCTGTTCTACTTCAAGAGGAGGCTAAAAAACTATGGTTTACCTCTGTTTTTCCCCATTAGGATTCTGGGTTTATGAATGGTGCTTGGATTATGCCTGTTTGTAGTTTTTTAATATTGTATTAGTTGATATTATTATTTATGCATTTTATATTGCATTTTATGGATGTAATTATAATTTTGTAATTGTCAGAGTTTATTGCTGATGTTGTCTTATACTGTAAACTGCTGCAGGCTGGTTTTACTAGGAGCAAGGGGATTGTAAAATGTGATAAATGATAAATAAATATTATTTACACAGTATACATTTTAAATCCATTAAAGTGCATAATATTAGAAATTATGTTTTGAATATCTCATTAACTACAAATGCTGTTCGCTAGTCCTCCAGAAAATGGAGATCTTATTTAGGTATGCAATTTTGCCCAGAACTCTGAGATTACCACAGTTTCTGAAGCGATTTAGCTAACTATAGACTCTTTTTGCTTGGCAACCCTAATTTCATTTACAAACAGATCTTTTCATATTCCCCAGAATATGGTTCATAAGTGTTTACACTATCGCCTGACAGGGAAAATTGGTATTTTCATTATTGATATTTTTGATATATATATCAAAATATATCAATATATATTGATATATTATTGATATTGATATTCAAAATTGATATTTCCCATTAGGAGTTGGTGAATAAGCAAGAAATCATTTTTCAAAGATTTTAGGGCTTTTCCTTTGTAGCAATATTTAAAGCTATGATTATTCTCATATTACACATATTTAGTTTGGTTACTATCACTGGGTACATTTCTTTTTTGCCACACAGCCTTACTTAGCCCTGATACTTAGCCCTGATACTGACTGATACTTTTTCATCTACACTATAAAGGAGCCTATAGCATGGTTCTTAACAAACCAAAAACAATACTGAAGAAATTATATTCCCCAATATCACACAGTATGGCATATTGGCATTATTGAATTTAGACTAGCTTTATTAAACATTGTATATCATACTTCATCTATTTTCACATGTACATGTATATGCACATGCATGCATGCTCATTGGATTAAGTTAAAATGTGCTTAACAATGATTTGTTGAACACGCCACAATGCACTATGGGTTCACACAATGCACTAAATTGTATTCCATTGTTACTTAATGTAATGTTTGAACTCAGTTACTGTTTTATACACTATATTCTCTATCATGGTATCTTTGAAGGAGAAATAATTATAATTTCCACAAGTTATATAATTCTAATTTCTACAATAAATGTTAACCTGAGATTCAGACTATAGTCTTATGCATGCTTACTTTCTCAGAGTTCCACTGAACAGAATGGGACTTGTTTCTGATAGGATTTACTATAATGTTTATTCGATAAATCTGTAGAAGAGGAATGAATGAAAACTCATCTCTCAAGTCCAGTACACTACTAAACCATAGGAAATGCAGCTGTCCAATGCCAAATGTTATAATAATTTTGCATAAATATATTTTCAGATTGTCGATTGCACATCTGTTTGTATTACCATGAAACTCTTGTAAAAGAAGTCACAACTTCAAGTCCTGAGGGCTGTAGGATATCTCATGGTCATAGTTACGAGGTCAGCAGCATGGACCAAGTTCTGTTCCCCTATCCAGAAGATCATAATCAGAGGAAAACAACTGAAAAATTGCTTTCTCACCTGGAAAGAGGAGTAATACTCTGGATGACGCCTGATGGCCTCTATGCTAAGAGACTTTGTCAAAGCAGGATCTATTGGGATGGGCCTCTGGCATTTTGCAGTGACAGGCCTAACAAGTTGGAAAGGGAGCAGACATGCAAGCTTTTTGATACTCAGAAATTTTTATCAGGTAATTTTTCAATATAAGTTACCATTGTGCAATTAAAACTTTGTCCATAAGGTACAATAGGTTACATTAAGTGTAGTTTTAAATGCATGATTTGACTGGTTGTTTTGCTATTTCAGATATCAGCTTCATATAGTGAAACGTAGAATTTGCAGGTGCTCCTTCCTATCAACTTTGAACTCCAGCCTCTGGGCTTCTGCAATCTCTGAAACCCAGCCTCTGTTTACCTTTAAGGTTGCCCTTCTCCCAGTTTTTCTGCTTTGGTAGTAGAGGCACACTTTTGTATACAGTAGATTCTAAATACATCAGGGCTTGAGATATTTACTTTCAATAATGATTTTCATTTAGATATGTGATATGGTAGAATTTGGAGATTTGTTTTGAAAACCCAGCTCTGTTGTGGATATGGAAAACCTTACTATGATTAAGATTCAGTATGTCCCAGAAATATTCAGATGATTCTAGAATTAACAGAGTCTAAGTAGGTAATACCTTTCCCAATGCATGCATTGCACACCAGAAATTTTAAAATATGTACCACTTTTCATTTTTAAAAAATCTGCTCAATATTATTTTAGACAAGTTCTTTGAGCTTTGTCTTTTAATTTAGCTTAAATTTTATGTATGTATAGACATTTATTTGCAAACATAGGTTTTAGCAAAATTGGTATAAAATTACAACAACCCATGTCAGTTCAATACATCCCCTCTAATATTAACAGCACTATTTGTCAACATCTGCTTTCATATCTTCCTTGTGGCCATTGCAAACAATGCAACTTGTTTTGTTACATGTTCATCTAGATCAGTCAACAGAAAATAATTTTTTTTCTTCTAAACTAGACTGATTCAGTTGAATTAACAAAGGCATGATGAATCTAGCTCTAGGTTCCTGATATAATTTGCAATGTAATAAGTGATGGATCAGATCTTCCTCCCGTGAGTTATTACAAATACATAAGCAGCATGTAGTTGGTAATCCTTTATATCTTCCATCCAGATAGTTTGTTGGCATTGTTTGAAAACAGAGTTCTGTCTCAGGGAATGGGATGTGAGAGATGTAAATAATATGACATTCCTTGTCCATCTTTAAAAGATTGATACCAATTGGCCAACTTAAGCTTACATACTGCTTTCTTATCTCATCTAAAATCTTTAAAAAATAAGTAGTTCCTTCAATAGCATATGATAATTTATGTCATTCAGCAGTTCCTGATTTAGCGATAATTGTGAGAATAGTTTTTATTCTCAATAGTTTTTTTATTCACAAATTCACCCACCTATTACTGTTAAATTGTTTGTGGAGTCATTTGTTCCACTTGCCCCTCCCTCACGTGCAGATGCCTGAGCTGAATGCTAATGAGAATATAACTGCAGACAAATAGTTCTTAGATTTGTGGCAGTTGTGTTCAACTATTTTAAGATATAGTTACACTTCTTTTGAAGGAGGTATTCATAGCCTAGGGATATTCCTAAATCCAATTTTGCCATTTGAAGAAGCCCAGTTAAACTCAGTGATGGATTACCAGTTACAGCTGTCTTTTAGAGTTAAAATCTTGTCTTGATTCTTTATGATCTGATAATTTGAAGTTTATTGTGAAGCATTACTGTCCTTGAAGATTTTTCATAAATTTCACCTAGTACACAATTTGGCAGCCAAAAATTTAACTACAGTACATAATTCTAAACCAATTACACAGGATTACCTATTAGTTTCTTGACCCAATTCAAGGATCTCATTCTCTTAAATTGTACATATCTGCAGGGCTCTCTCTTCCTATACAAGGTAGTCTTTGTCTTAGATCTTTCATTAAAGTTATTCCCAGTGCCTTTGTTATCAGCAGCATGCTTTGTAATCACAAAGGATTGGCTTTGGGATACCTTGCTGAAAATATATGACCAGTGCTTCACAACCTGCTTTGTGCTCTATTCTTATTTATGAAGCACTATTATGTATATAATCCTTAAAACTGCTTTATTAAAAAAAAAGCTATTAGTGTGGCTGTTGGATGTCATATTTTCAATAATGTTACTGCTTTTAGCCTGCCTTTAACTTGGAACTTTATGCATTAACCTTGGCAATAATAGCCAATAATATGAATTTGTTTTAATTTAATTCATTTAATTTAATGAACTTGTTTTAATTGTTGCATTCTCTAGAGATTTTATTGATTGTTTTGTTTTATTTATCTATTGTTTTAAATCTTTTTGCATGTTATTCTGTTTTTTTTTAAGGGAGGAAGTACAGTATAAGAACAAACTATTGTTTATATTGTTGTGTATTGCCCTAGAATATTATTAGATGAAGGGAAGTGTAATATTTTTTTAAAGAAAGAAGGGAAAACAAACTGATTGAAATGGTTTTATTTATTTGTTTCAGATCCATGTAGATGATAGTTTTTAAAAAAAAATTGCAATGTCATGAATCTAAGATGATTTTCATGCGTTATTCCATCACAGTTCTAAATTTAGCCCCAAAGGTATAATATTTCTGTTTGTTTTCTAGAACTACAAATATTTGCCCACCATGGGCGGCCATTACCTAGATTCCAGGTTGTGTTATGTTTTGGAGAAGAGTTTCCTGATCCACAAAGACAGAGAAAACAAATTACAGCCCATGTAAGTATATGCTAATTGATTTATGTAATTTATGTAATATATAAATGCTAAAAGTATTGCTAATAAAGTGCAGGACTGTGACAAATGTTTAATGTGAATTAAATTGATCTACGATATTGAAATGCTTGAACAATTGATATGTAGAATTCAAATGATTTTCAGTTTCATAAATGTTCAATTCTTCTTAAATCATTAGGTTAAATCATCAGGTTAACCCTAAACCAAAACTACAGATGTAAATAACTAAGATTCCTTGAAAATGTAATCACAATTTATCTAATTATACTGCCAGACAATATGCAATACAATTCCTATATGACTGACAATTATAACTTCACATTTGGTGAATTCTAAACATGTATGTTTAGAAACAATTTCAATTCTGCTAATAAATTAGTAATGGATTATATATATGTGATGTTATAGCTTGCCACAAGTCACACAGATAGCATGTATATGACTTTTTTTAAAGGACATTTTATATATGCCATTCTATGGTATTCTCCAAAATGCAGCAACAATCCAATCTCCTTACATGTGCATGGAGCTCTTCATATGTTCCATGCACTGTCTGACCTTGTAGCCAATTTACTTACCCACTGGAGTAGTCAACCTATAGACTTCATGCCATACTACCCTCCATTTTCTAACTCTCAGAGCTCTCCAAACTGCACCACTGGAAATCACCAGTTTTAGATTGCTTGATTTTTAACATTTCTCCCCTAAAAAAAGTTCAGAGTGGCTTTGTTAAGACTGTGTAAGGCTAGAACACCCAGTCAATCCTTTTAGAACTGCTTGACCCGGGGGGGGGGGGGGGAACGCAAAACAAGTTGAACAATTTCACTGTAATCCTGGTGATATCATAGTGCTCTTAGATGTGCCTCCTGCAATCACCAGGTGTTGTAATAATAAAATTAATAAAAAGTGAATCCTCCATTTATTTAATCATGATCTGTTGAGGTTGTTGCATTTGTGTAACATGCTAAAACATAAATCTTACTTTACAAATCACGATGGTTGAATTCAAACAACATGTTAAGGTTGCATGATTATGTTTGTGAAGTAAACTGAACATGGCTTGACATTAGTCATTGTTAAGCCTGTCACTCAGCAGATGAACCCCTGATACAATATATATTTGTTTATTTGTTTATTTGTATTTCAAATTTGTCACCACCCATCTCACTGCAGAACAACTGTAATCTCACTGTAGATTAATGACAGCCATGGTTTGGCAGTCTTCATCCTCTTTGGTCAATATTCCAGCATCCTTTGCACTGGTTAGCACTTCCATTAAAAACAAAATGGCAAAACCAAACTTTCCCCCACAAAGATTTGAACTTGGCCTACTGGAGTTGGAACTACCATGTGTATGTGACTGCAGGAGGCTAATCCTTCAACTCCAGAAATGTCACTGTCAACATAAAACTACTCCCCAACTTCTGTCTTAGAGTAGTGGGAAGAAAAACAAAGTGGAAGCAGCAGATATCCTGTTGTGGAGTTTTGGTCATAGGTATCTCGTACAAAGTGCAATGAAGAAGTAATGATAAAATGTATCCACGAACCCCAGCCTGTATTTGTACCTCAATGTCAGATGCAGGTACATAAAACAGTTTTTTTTTCCAGGAAGTCAGAAGGTGTGTTTCACCATTTGTCTCCACCCTACTTCAGAGAATGGCCATGGCTCTGCTTTGCAAATTCTCCTGCGCCAAGGGATCATTTTCTTTGAAAAAGTAATATGGTCTAACTATAAGCTAATGCAGAGCACTTAAATCAGAAAATCATTTGGTACCATCCTCATCCATTTATATCAGATTAGAAATATTTAATTCTATATTGAATATTGCTTTATTTACCCTTTATATTTTGCCTTCAATATGTTGAAATTTGCCAGTACTATATCTACTTGCTGTCATGATAGGAGATACAATCTCTTTGTCCTGGCAAGCTGTTTGCATACTTGATTGTGGTAAGATTTTTATGAACTACTATCAGCTATAAAATTGACAACGTAGTTTTCCAGAATATTATTATTGAAGAACATTATTACTCCAGTGATCACTAATTAACTCATTAACTTTCTGATTTGTTGTTTAGGTTGAACCAGTGTTCGCTAGGCAGCTATACTATTTTGCACAGCAAAACACTGGACCTTTTCTGAGAGGCTACGATATATCAGAACAGATAACCAGTTCAGAAGATTATCATAGATCTATCCACCATTCCTCTGTTCAGGAATAAACATGGAAACACTGAAGAATGAATGACATTTTGGGAGGTAAGCAGAAGGCAAACAACTCTGAATAACAGCTAAAGGCTGTAAATCAATATTTTGAATTTTCCTGCGAAATCACCATCACCTCCAGCAGGAAATGTACATGGAATGGATACAGTCTACGTAAAAATCTAGAACAACGAGTGAGAGGTCTGCCATGTTTTGGATTGCTGCCCTCTGCTTCTACTTTTGCCTCTGGGATCAGCTGTAAAAACTGACAAAATATCTGATATGTTTACATGTTCTTAAATAAGGACAGTGTCTTGTAGACAACCTGAACTTATTTCAAGCCTCTTGTTATTTATTTGATTTGAAATCTCAGGGCAAGAAATTCTAAACTGAAGCAACTGTTACATTAAGGCTGTACTCCTATATAATATACCATACCAGACCTTCCCTGATAGTGGTGCTTAACTTCACCTCCCATAATGCTGGCTAGGGACTACAGAGTTGAAGTCTGATACATCTAGAAGTCTTCAGGCTGAGGAAATGAACTCATCAGAGAATGAGCCCAATTTAGTGCATTGAGGCTTATATTTGAATATATAAGATTGCACAAATAAAGATTGAATTTAAGATAGTTTTGAATAAACCATATGTGGAGGCAAATTGAAACTGGGCTTGCACATCATACTATGGTATGTTTCGCTTAACCATAGTTTATTGAGAAATCCACAATTGCCATCAATTATGCTTTATGCTTTATGACTATAATGGTTTCATGCTATATGCCAAACCACAACAAACCACCCCGTGACATTTCCCACCTTGTAATTAAAAATATGTAGTACTTGAATATCTAATCAAGTCTTGAATTTCTAATAGAATATCTAATCTATTCCTGAATTTATACATCTTAAAGATGCATGATGCCTTGGGATATAATATCCATTTCCTCCTTCTCCCAGCAAATTGTATTCCTTATCATATGACATATTTTTTCCTGGATACAGTTAGTTATAGGCATTAGCACATCTTGGGAGTAAACAAATTGAATTCAATCTAACTTATATCTCAGTAAACATGGATAGGTTGCACTATTAAATATTTTTAAGCTTGGAAAAATGATAACTCCACATAGTTGTTTGAATCTTTTCATGTTTGTTTTTTTTGGTATATCAGTATACATTATTAATCCATTTAGCTAACAAGCATTATTTCTAAGTGTGTATATATAGGCACAGTATTTCTTGTGCTTGTGGCCCTTAGTTTCTCTTAGTGGCTATTCCATGTAATTATATATCAGAATTATATTTGTTATGCCAAGTACAAAGCTCAGACTATTTTTAGTTTTAGAGGTTTGATTATTACCCTTTTTATCATACAAGTAAGAGAGATTTATGTGATTAAAACATTGATCCATAATAAGTAATTTGGAAGGCTTTCCTGTTAATTTCAGTGGAAACTTTACTGAGTGGTACTTTCTTGAGAAGATTATTGATGGGTGTATATGGGCTCTGTATGCTTGAAAACTATTGGAGGAAATGCTTCAAGCTCTACATAAGCACAGGACTTCTCTGTCATTCATTAAAGTACGCATGACTTTTCTGATATAGTAGAGCTACTAGCCCTGGGCTGGAAGAATTCAGACTAGATGGCCACTAAGAGATATAGAAAACTCTAGCTCTATGCTGCTATGTAATCTTCATCCAGATTTTTCCAGCCCAGAGCTGGCAGCCATAGATAAATCTAGTTGTAGGCCTTAGTATATTTACTAGAGAGGAAATCAGTGGAACCTTTTCTCAGTAAACATGGGTAGGTTTGCACTGTTAATCTTCCTAAACTTTAAATGAAATGCTGCTTTAATGAATCAAATCATTAAAGCTTCATGTATTTAACATGACTCTTAGAGCAGCCACATCTTTCTTCAGGTTCGTGCAGAAGCCTAAAAAATAGTGGTGTGTACTTTAATGAATAGAAGTGCTGCACTCTTATATGCAAAGGAGCTTTGAAAGTGTGGTTTTAGACACGGGGAGCTGGTGAACCATTTTTTCCCCTGCTAGCCTACTTTTGCTGTTATTCCCTGAAGTCTTTCTGCTTGTATGAAAGTAAACTCATATCTGGAATCTTGTTAAGAAGAAAGCTGCTGGGGAAAATGGATTTTGGAAGGAAAATGCATCAAAGCCATTGTAGGTTAGGAAAGCTTTGATCTCACGAGGAACTTATTTTAAGCCTTATGATGATGTGCAATCTCTAATATTAAACAACATGGAGTATTTCAAAAAGTGGATGTGAAAAACACTGAGATAGTGTTAATTTAAGTACACAATGTGATCATGGATTTCCCTCTAAATGTACAGTGACAATATGCCAGCTTTTACAAGGGCTCTGTCACTTCAGTCAGCTTCTGCAGAGGCAGCACTCAGGAAGATGAACAATGCTGTGTTAGTGTACTGGGGACAAAACAATCATTTATGCACTATATAAGAGAATACTCAGGCTCACTGGTTCTCTCTACATTCAGTCCTACGGCTTCATCCCCAATCTTTGAGAAAGTCGAACTGTAAAGTTCATACTTTTGTTGTTGTTGTTGATGAAATGCTGTATCTTACTCTTCCCTGAATTCTTTAGGGAAATCATAATACATTAAACATTCCTACAAACTTACAGATACAACTTACTTTGTATAGCATTGAGTACACCAAGTAATAGACATATTTTTGATTTTGACTGAAAAAGTCATGTTCAAGTCAATAGCAAAATAGGTGAAAATGATCAAATAGGATGCTTGGTTGTGAGAAAAAGGTAGGTCGAATATTACCTTCCTGCTTCATTACTCGTTTGGAAGACTATGAAAATGCAGAAATAGAGCTGGAAATGTCTGTTATCAAATATAAGCACTATAATAATGCTGTACATAATTTTTAAATTTAGATTTGATTTATGTTTGATAAATAAAGTATGCTTTTTTAATCTAGTTTTTCCAATCTTATTTTCAAATAGCTTATGAATAACTTCCCATTCTATTTTAAATTTTGATATGAACTTCTGAGGTTCATTTTCTTCCTGCAACTGCAATATTATCCAATTTTATAATGAAAATTAAGCAGATTTTTTTTTTATACGTTATCTGGTTGAAGTAAACATCATTTTTAATATAATATACCTTGCATAGATAAAATGCCTTGCTACAATTTCTCAGGAGACACTAATGCTGAAAGCTGTATAAATATATGGGGTTCTATGACATACCTATTGCTGAAAAACATGGCTACTATCCAGACAAACTTACTGTTCTTTCAGTGAAATCTAAGTGCTTATGTATGCAATTAAATATATAATAAGGCATCTATGATGTTAACCTGGGCTGTGTGTACTCTTTATGAGCCATAGATTTCCCAAGTATTAACCTCTAATAAGAGAATTGTAGAAGGAGCACAGGTTTTATTTGATCTTTCAAATGGGTATGCTATTTACATCATCATTTGTCACTGGCCTGGAGGTGGGGAAAACACCATCACGGCTCATCAAACAGCTTTCAGGAAAAAAGAAAAAAAAAAAGCACTGCCTACAGAGTATAAATTAGAACGACACTGTAAATGTGAGCTTCCTTTGAATGGAAGATAAATCAGCTTAATTTATGGTCCTGCTAGAACAAATGTTTTCACTGACTATTCAGCATGTTACCGTGCTACTTTCCATTAAGTCACTGGGAAGCCCACCTTCCTCTTTTTCTAATATTGTTAGAGTGTCTCTGCCTTCATTAAGAGCCAGATTAAGGCTATTTCTTTAGGAATAAATCCCATTCTGTTCAATGTTCATAATTCAAAAGTTCAACTTTAAAGTGCAGATTGACCATCCCACGTGCTTCTGTTGCAGGTCTGTTATGTCCCCTATTTTATTTTTAAGTAGCAATCCACCGTGGCTTCTAATGTTTTTATTCTGCATTTTGTACAAGCAGCAAACATCAATACTGTGAATAGAAAAATCAAGTCTGGTATAGTGGTTAAGGTGTATGTTCTAGTCCAGCTTTAGCCATAGAAACTCACTGGTTGACTTTGGGTCAGTCACTCTCAGCCAACCTACCTCACAGGGTTGTTGTTGCAGGAAAAAACAGAGAGTGCTATGTATGCCTCATTGAGCTCCTGAATGGAGGGATATAAATCTAATGAATATGTCAGTATTGAGATGGGAGAGATACAAAGTGCAAGAGACACTGATAAAGTCCATTCAAGTTTTTGCTGTGATTTTTAAAAGACTATGCCACAATACTTTTGTTTTTGCTGCAGTGGACTAACACAATTATCTTTATAGCTTGTTTAGTTGTTTGATTCATCTTAGAAGACAGAAATTAAAATGACAAGATTCTTTTAATCATTTTGTGGACGATGCTGTTTCCCCCCACCTTTTTTAACATTTCCAGATGTAATACTTTCAAATCAGAGCTAACTTAACCTTTCAGTTTATATTTTCCCTTTTCATGCCTGAAAGATACAAAAAGAAACTTAAAAAGCACTGTGTGTGGTGGTGGGGTGCACACGCATTTACAAGTAAAAAGTATTATATAAGAGTGAGGATGAAGATTTAATAATGGACAGGAGGCAATCCTTCTATGCTAAATATATTGAAGAGAGGTTGAAGAAATTGCCTTGATATTTCTTTGATTTAGCAATGAAAGCAGTAAACAAATTCCAAAACATAAGCTTTGGGGTTCTTCCCTCAGTCCAACTCCATGGCATGTAATGAAAGACTGAACAGGATGAAAGATTTATATGATCTGAAGAGAAACCAGAGAAACAACCGAAACAATAGACCAGTGCCTGCATTACAGAGACATTCGTACTAGCCTTATCTCACCATTACTGCATAAATACCCAGGGCTTACAGGACCTCCCTGCTGCTTTCAGATACCAACCCTGCTACAACAGCGTTAACAGCGTTATCAGGTTCTGCACAGCAGCGCTTAAAATTTGTTGGATGATGAACTAGACTTAATGACCATCTGGTTCGCCATACTAGAGTGCTCTGTAATTTGATATAGTCTTCCACGTACTAACCTTTATGCCCCCCAACACCCACCTATTGCTCCTACCCCTCCTTTTAGATTCTTTTAGACCCTTGCTTTTATATATACTTTGTTTTAATACATATATTTTTATAACTTCTAGTTTTTCATAACCTTTTTAGACTCTGATGTATCTTCTATGCTTTTTAATAGTAATTTTATTAATTATATAATTACAATTGTAAAAACTAACACAAACTGAAAAAACAGAAGAATAAAAAGAAAGAGTAGAAGATGCAGAAAAGAAAGAAAAAAGGGAAAAACAGAAAAAAATAGAAAAGAAAATAATAATATAGTAAAGAAAAAGAACATAAATATACAAAGAAATT